TTTAGGGAAATTGAGTTATCTCAAAGCTGTGATCTTGGAGAGTTTGAGAAGACACCCTCCTGGTCATTACTTGTCTTACCATAAGGTCACAAACGACACCGTTTTAGGTGGATTCCTTGTTCCACGCCAAGGTAAAGTAATGAGACATATACAACATCTAAATTTGGAAACAAATTCGACATTTCTGACAACAAATTAGTTGGTAAAACTAGTAGTATAGCAACAATGATTTAAATTTGTGGAACGATAATCGTTATTCCGAATAAGCACCAGAACAACTTAGTGGTTTTAGTGTTTGGTTCTCTAGATCCTTTCAAAACATTAGTTTGGTCCCGTTTGATCTATATCATGAATGTATTTGATTTGTGTGGGATAGGTACTATAAACTTTATGGTAGGGGAAATGGGTCGGGACCCGAAAATATGGGAAGATCCTCTGACGTTCAAGCCAGAAAGGTTTCTAAAGAACGGGGAAGCGCAAGGGTTCGATATGACCGGAACTCGTGAGATCAAGATGATGCCGTTTGGCGCGGGACGAAGGATGTGTCCCGGTTATAGCCTTTCGTTGCTTCACCTTGAATACTATGTGGCCAATCTTGTTTGGAAGTACGAGTGGAAATGTGTAGAAGGTGAAGATGTTGATCTATCTGAGAAGCAACAGTTTATCACTATGGTCATGAAAAACCCTTTCAAGGCAAATATTTATCCAAGGAGAAAGTGAATTTGCCTTTTATTGTGTATTATACATTACCCAAAAAGCCCATTGGGCTTGTGCGTCATGTGGAGTCTCATGTATGTTATAAAACAAGTTAGGCCTTTAATGGGCTTAGATGTAAAAAAATATCAATACTTTAGTTTGTTACCTTCAAAATCGTATATTAATGGCGGAGAAGACGAACATTTGCGAACAGAAACCCTAAAAAATTTCGAAATTACAGAGAAAAATGGAGGAATCGAAGCAGCAGGAGCAACAAAATCAACTCTTTCTTCAAATGCAGCATCAACAACAAATGCAACAGCGTCAACAACAGTTTTTTCTGATGCAACAGTTACAGAAACAGCAGCAACAATCGGCGATGTCTAGGTTTCCGGCGAGTATCGACTCTCATCTCCGGCCATCGGGGTTAACCCTGAACCGACCCGTTAACCCGTTTCTTCAGAACGCAAACCCTAACCCTAATTTCCAGCAACAGCAGCAGAATGTGACGAATCAGCAGATGATGATGATGCAGCAACAACAACAACAGAAATCGATGATGATGATGCAGCAACAGCAACAACAGCAGAAATCGACGATGCGTCCTTTGAATCAATTGGAATTACAGTTCGCTTATCAAGACTCTTGGCGAGTTTGTCATCCTGATTTCAAGAGACCTTTCGTTTCTCTCGAAGACGCTTGTGAAAGGTTCGTTTGATTTCAGATTTTCCCCAAACGAGTTGTGAATTAGTTTCTGGGTTTGATGAATTTCTGGTTAATGAGTGTTCTTTGATTGATTGATCTCTTTTGGTAGTACTTAGCTTTCTGGATTTCACTTTTCATCTCTAATCATAAAGGCCAATGCTTTATTAGAGTGTTTTGCTTTTCTTCACCTTTTTGGTTGAAGTTATTGTATAATATGAGTTCTTCAACTTTTATTACCTCTCTGTAGAAGAGGTTTCTAGTTCAATTCGATGTAGTATATGAAATGGTTATATTGTTGCTGAATTCAGATGTAGTATCATCAGTCATCATCACCATTGGTTATATCGCTTATGAAGTTTTGCTATTCTCTGTTTTCTTACGGTTTATGCAGATTGTTACCGTATCATGTCGTAGCAGATTACGAAGCTGAAGAAGACGACAGACTCCTCGAGTCAGACACGACAAGCCAGACGATACCCCGGAGTCAGCAATGGGACAACAACATTGCAGCCAAAGTTGCAGAATTCACGGCGACATTCGAGAAACAAGCCCAAGCTTTCAACATGATAACTGAAAAGAGAATGGATGGAGAGCTGAGATCCGAGGAAAGGTTGATGATCGAACAAGCATTGCTCCAAGACGAGAGAAAAGCATGTATCGAGCTGAAAACAGAGTTAGATAGAGAGATGAAGGCTCAAGAAGCGAGGTTAAGAATGGCTGCTTTGGCTCAAGCAGCAGGACAAGCGAGGACAGAGTCAACACAAGCTCATACCGGAATGATGGCTGGTAACCCGTTGAGAGCTAATGCGATAGGGAATCGTGGAGAACAAGGACGTAATAGCATGAACCC